AAAATATTGTGCAGACATTGAAGACAATGGCATCGGAGGGACGGACTATAGTCTGTACTATACATCAGCCCTCGTCTCAAGTGTTCGCTCTCTTCGATCACATCTTACTTATGGCCGACGGAAGGGTAGCTTTTATGGGCACAACTGGTCTGTACTTTACCACATATTTTTAATATTAAGTTTAATTTAAACATAACAACACTATTGAATATTTTTAGATGAAGCAAAATATTTTTTCTCATCACTCGGTTTTGTAAGAATTTTAAAATACATTTGTAATATTTAATTAATTAAGTAATTTTTTAAAATTAATTATCATATTGATTCTGACAGTTATGCCCTCAAAATTATAATCCAATTGATTATTATATTACAGAATTGGGTTTGTATTGAATATAAAGAATTAATTATTTGTAATAATTAATAAACATTTTTAAATTACTTTAAAAGCAATCACTTCTGATAAGTTTGAGATAAAAAGAGAGAAATTAAATGTAAGTTATTTTTGTTAAAATGCCCTTGTTGCATTTCATAGTACACATGAATTTTGAGTCATTGCTAATTCTTAACCAAAATATTTACTAAAATATTCAATTATGTAGAAAATATGCGACAATTATCTAAACTCACGTTTTTGTCAACAAATATCTCTCAATAATAATGCAATTGAATGCCAAACGAGACACACATTTGGCGCACAGATTGAAGACAACAACCGTACAAAATATTTGACTGCATATAAGTACGGCTTTTGGGCCCAAATGCGGGCCCTATTGTGGCGCTCATACCTATTGACAACCAGAAATGATAAAATAATATTAACCGCGATGATTTTAATGATAGTATGTTTTATTTGTTTACATTTACCACAATTTTTATATACAGCTTTGTATTGTTAAACATTATGTAATTTATACAAAGTTTGTCATTTAAATTACTGTTCACATATTCTGTGGATATTTATATTTTAGCCTGTTAATTTTGATTTAATAGTTAATTAAGCTTGTGAAATAATAAATTACATCACAAATATTTGTTCCCCACTAAATCTTTAAATTGCAATTTTAAGTAATCTAGAGTTAATTGTGAGATTAAATTAAACTAATTTTTATATTTATAGGTGTTTATTTTTATCATTAGCTCGTTTTATTATAAACAATATCCGGTATCATCCGATATAACCAACATCAATGGTGCCTTATTTATTATCTTACTTGATATAACAGCCGTGTATTCATTTAGCTGTGTTCAGGTAAATAACATACAAACACAAAATTCAAAATGCTACTTGATTATCATTAATGAAATTATTATGAATATACATTGTTTTGTGTATTATGTATATTGTGTATATTGATATGATTATGTATATTGATATTATTATTTCTACAGACTTTTGGTTCGGGAATCTGTTTATTCCTTCGGGAACATCACAAACATGTTTATGGAGTTCTACCATATTTTATTTCTACAATATTTTACCAGGTATTTTATATTTTATTAAATAATATACATTATTTAAAAAGTTTTTATCTTTAATAAAATATAACTAAAAACAATTTATTGGCAAACTATATTTTTTAGGTTGTTTTACATTATGAACAATATCTGCGTTGCTTAAAGTTTTGTAGCAACATAAATTTATTATTAGCATAACCAAAAACTGCAATATAAACTGTAATAAACTTTATTTAATAGTTGGTGTATAACATGACTTTGGGATTATCAATGATGTTAATTGTCTATTACTTAATTGGCCTCAATTCTGATCCCTGCGCATACCTTACGTGTATTGCCATAATAATCATGGTCATTTTTAACGCGTCAAGTTTTGGTTAGTTTTTGTAATATTTTTAAAATATTATTATGTTTTAATAATATAATATTAATCTAAACCATAGGTTACATGATATCCATTTTAAGTCCGAACATTTTAATTGCACAGTCACTAATAGGACCAGGCACTATTTTACTATTTTTATTTGCTGGATTTATTCTAAATACTAAGTATATTGTATATAGCTAATGAAATTAATTTAATAAACTATCACTTTTATATGACAGGTCAATACCCGATTGGTTAGTTTGGGTCAAATATTTGGATTTCCTTCACTACGCGTACGAATCCCTTGTTGTAAACCAATGGCAATATATCGATGATATTCCGTGTATTAATGGCAGTCAATCCNGTTAATACAGTGGCGCCGGAAAGACAACGCTATTGAATGTATTGACGGCCAGAAACCTATCGAAACTACGGGTGAAAGGAGTGGTGCTATTGAATGGACAGGCGGTCAGTGCGGAGACAATGGCATCGCTTTCCTCATACATAGAACAACACGAGTTGTTTCATCCGTTGCTTACAGTCAGAGAGCATCTCGTCTTTCAAGTACTTGTCGTGTGTTTTAAATTTTAATCAAAAATTATAACTTTTATTTTGCAATTAACTTATAGTCATTGTTACGAATGGATAGAAGTTTAACACGTGAACTGAAAAATGTTTTTATTGATAAATTGCTTATAAATGTGAGATAAATGCTTAGAAATATATATTTTCTAAATGTATATTTTTGTTAATATTAAATAATTTATACATTTTTTAGTTTAATTTAAGTAAATGTATGGACACTCAAATTGGCGGCGATTTTGAGTTTAAAGGCATTTCTGGGGGAGAAATGAAGAGATTGTCGTTTGCATCAGAGGTTTGTACAAAGTATTTATTAATGGTGGTTAATAATCATGGTATTTTAAAATTTACTTTATTTTAAAACTGTTTCGATTTTCTTTAGATTAATTCATTGTAACAATGTTTCTGTATTTTTACATATTTACATCTTTTTAGATTCTATCAAATGTTTCGTTAATGTTTTGGTAAGAAATATAAAGTTTTTACTAATTTGGCCAATTTAGTTATAATTTATAACTTATAAATAGTATTTGTGTAATTAGTAATTACTACTAGTAATTTTAGTTTACTTAAAGTATTATGTTAAAATACTGTAGTTTAATATAATCTACATGCAAGGGCATTTGAGTTATCATCATTTAAACTCAACAATAATTGTATAACAACAATTATTGGAGATGTTTTTATTTTTACAGTATACATACAGTGTAATTATGGTTCCCTTTTGCCAAAATTATTTATTTAAATTTGTATTAAAACAATTAAATATTTATAACATTTAAAGTTTAATTTATTTTAATTATAAAAACCAAAATATTAAAACTTTAATACAATTTTAAAATTATTAATACTATTGTCTGTGTTGTCATCAGTGATGAGCCGACGACTGGTTTGGACTCATTTATGGCCCAAAATATTGTGCAGACATTGAAGACAATGGCATCGGAGGGACGGACTATAGTCTGTACTATACATCAGCCCTCGTCTCAAGTGTTCG